TAGCTTTGCAATACTTTATTACCATATTTGCCATTCACAGCTCCAGAGTTTTGCAATCTGTTTGTAAATAACTGAAGAATCTAAAAGGGGGGGGGGAAATCCACCGCTTTGTCTGCTGGGGACTTTTCATGCTCTACATTCCCTCCCAAACTGCAATACTGGGCTTTGACACGACAACCTTGTACAAAATCCCACCTTCCGGCGTTTCCCTGGTTCTGCTCGACAGTTTCCCAAACCTGCTCTGGTATGACCTTTCCTTAAAGATCAGACTCAAAGCGGATTTGGGGAGAGTAGGGATGGGAAGGTGCAACACCCCTCCCCACTATCCAGTGCTATTGCCTCTGTGCCATTTTCTCCCTATTTTTCCTATTTTCCCCTTCCCCATTGCCAGCAGGATTTTTGCCTTTAAAATACTATGGCCCCGGTCACACAGAGCATTAGGCACGCTAGAGAGACGGGAGATAGGCGGATTTTCCTAGTGCGATCTCACCGCAACATCTGGGAAGCGTAGAGCTCCTGTGGTTCACCCGAGGCTTCACTCCAAAGATGCACTGTAAAAAACTAGTACCTCCGAGGTACTAGTTTCCGGAAACCGCAGGGCAAGGGCGGGCGTCAGATCACGTTTCCGGTGTTAGCTCATGGCATCCGGCGCCCGCCCATGTCCTGTCGCCCCATAAAAAAAATTGTCAAGTCTCCACGGGTGCGCACAAGCACCCAACGGTGCATGCAAACACTTGGGTTAAAAAAAAACACACAACCCCCGCGGCGCCGCTTCTTTGCCGCGCCGCAGGAGTGAGGTATGATCGGCACCTCCCCCCAACCACAGGACGTCAGTGGGACGTCGGGCGGGACGTTTGATCCGGCTGCCGCGCGGTAGGTCGCCCCGGGGCAAACAGCCACGCCCCCCCCCCGCGATATCCAGCCCGTTTGACCGGGGCCGTTAATGGTTATACCTAGTACCAATGTATTTGTATTTGCACATGCAATGAGAACAGCACAGGGAATCAATCCTCTCTGTGTGGAGCAACCAACATTTACTGGGGTGAAGCATGAAGTACTAAAGGCCTCTACATGCATTTCTTCATGTGGCCATACATGCACCTGTAACGCAGAGGGAGAGGTCTATGAAATGTACTGGGTTCAGACGTGTGGGGTGATCAGCTCATGCTTTATTCAGTGATTTAGCTCAACTACAGGACAACTCTAGCAGGACCGAAGCCCTGCTTAAATGCGTGCTCAACACCACACCCAACACGCACACACTCCCCGTGATAGGTTATTTACATAAGAACTCCTGTACAATAGGTCCCTTCCAGGATCCTGGTCCCCTGTTGTTCTGGTAACGAAGCTAAGTCAGTCCTCTGGTGAAATGCAAGCTCAGTACATAACAGTCTATATTTCAAAGAAAACAGAGACCATAAGCAAGGGGAACTGAACTAAATAAATAAGTCTTCTCCTTCCCCTCTTTACTTTGCCATGTTCTGCTGTTACAAGCATTTTTCTTACAGTCTAGCTGTGATACTGGAGGTGAGCTGGGATAGAACAAATGTAAGGCACACAGTAAGGTAAAATAATATAACAGTATAACATGTTGGAACTTGCAAGGATTGTCAGGAGGTGTCTCACTTCCCCCTCCCCCACTATATCCTCCTTCCCTTTCCTGAAAGCCCCATAGTTTCTTCCCTTTTCCTGTTTCCTTCTCTTCTAGGATTGCCAACCTGGAGATCTCTACGAATTGCAATGGCCCTCTCAACTACAGAGATAGGTTCCCCTTATGGTTGCCAGCTCCAGGTTGGGAAATTCCTGGAGATTTGATGGTGGAGCCCTGGGAGGGCAAGGTCTGGGGAAGGAACCGACCTCACTAGTGTATAATGCTATAGAGTCCACCACACAAAGCACCCGTTTTCTCCTGGGGAACTGATCTCTGTCACTTGGAGAGCAGTTGTAATTCTGGGTGGGCCCCATGTGGAGGTTGACAGTCCCCCTGAAGGAAATGGCTGCTTTGAAGGATGGAGACTATGGCATTATACATTTCTTGAATTTATAATTTTTATTAATTTTAACAATTTCAATACAATAGCATTGACATCTGATAAGCATTAATAAAAATAACCAACCGTAACACACATAAAAATAACACACCTAAGCATACAATCAATCAAGTTAGGAAAAGTTGAATTCAACTTACTGTTCTACATATATTCCATAGGTAAAAAAATAAGTGAGCATTAAAACCTTGTATAGGGTATCACACATAACGTATGGGTTGTAAGGCAGAAGACCGGTTCATGCCATATAATCTAAGAATGGGGAGCACTGTTCCACAAATGTAGAATGGTAGCTTATCAAGTTCCGATTGTAATAATCTGTCTGGTAAGTATTCAATAACAAAGCAATCCTAAATTTTATCTAGCCATAGTTTTGTTTTGTTTTGTTTTTTGGGTGGGAACTGTCCCTTCTTTCCATTTCAAAGCCATTGCTAGTTTAGCCGCTGTGAGTAAGATGATTATCAAGTGTTTTCAAACCCGTGGAATCCAGTCCTCCCTGCCCCCCTAGATTTAGGAGTATTTGCTCAGGCATCATTGTGATTGAATATCCTGTGATTGAGTGAATTGTGCATGTAACCATACACCAGAATTTAGCATTATACATTTCTGAGGTCCCTCCCCTCCTCACACCACACCATTCCCAGGCTCCATGCCCCAGATCACTAGGAATTTCCTAACCTGGAGTTGGCCACTCTATCTCCTTCCCACCCCATAGCTAACCTAGCTTTATCTGTCCCTCGTTCTTAAGCTGTCCCTCTCCCTCCCTGGCAGCTTCTCTCTAGGAAAATTGTGACCTAGTTTTGTAGTGCCAGGCCCACTTGCATGGTGGGGAACCCTCAGGAACTTGTGAGGGAGCCTCACCTTCTCCTGTATCCCCCTCCCCACACTATTTTTTCATTCCCTCCCCCTGGCAACCCCCATATCCTCTCCTCTTGGCATTACCCTTCTTTGGGATTGGAATGTAAACTGACCTTTTCCAATCCTATGGCCACTGTTGCATTTTCAAAATTTGCTGGCAAATTGAGTGCAGTACTTTAACAGCATCATCTTTTAGGACTTGGAATAGCTCAGCGGGAATACCATCATCTCTGCTAGCTTTGTTCTTAGTAATGCTTTCTAAGGCCCATTTGACTTCGAACTCCAGGATGTCTGGCTTGAGGTCAGCGATCACACCACTGTGGTTGTCAAGGACATTGAGATCCTTCTTGTATAGTTCTTCTGTGCATTCTTGCCATCTCTTCCTAATCTCTTCTGCTTCTGTTAGGTCCCTACCATTTTTGTTCTTTATCATGACCAGCTTCACACGAAACGTTCCCTTGATTTCTCCAATTTTCTTGAAGAAATATCTAGTCCTTCCCATTCTATTGTTTTCCTCTATTACTTTGCATTGTTCATTCAGGAAGGCTACCTTATCTCTACTTGCTGTTTTCTGGAAACCTGCATTCAGTTGGGTAAATCTTTCCTTTTCACCTTTGCCTTTCACTTTCCTTCTTTCCTCAGCTATTTATAAAGCCTCATCAGACAGTCACTTCGCTTTCTTGCATTTCTTTTTCTTTGTGATGGTGCTGATTGCTGCCTCCTGTACAATGTCACGAACCTCCATCCATAGTTCTTCAGGCACTCTAGCTATCAAATCTAGACCTTTAAACCTATTTTTCATCTCCACTGTATATTCATCAGGGATGTGATCTATGTCAAACCTGAATGGCCTAGAGGTTTTCCCAACTTTCTTCAGTTTAAGTCTGAATTTTGCAATGAGTAGCTCATGATCTGAGCCACAGTCAGCTCCAGGTCTTGTTTTTACTGACTGTATGGAGCTTCTCCATCTTTGACTACAAATTATATAATCGATCTGATTTCTATGTTGCCCATCTGGTAATGTCCATGTATAGAGTCACCTCTTAGGTTGTTGGGTGTTTGCTATGACCAGTGTGTTCTCTTGACAAAACTCTGTTAGCCTTTGCCCGGCTACATTTTGTTCTCCAAGACCAAAGTTGTCCGTTATTCTGGTTACATTTTGACTTCCTAATTTAGCATTCCAGTCCCCTATTATGATAAGGACATCTTTTTTTGGTTTTAGTTCTAGGAGGGTTGTAGGTCTTCATAGAACCGGTCCACTTCAGCCTCTTCTGCGTCAGTGGTTGGGGCATACTTGGATTACTGTGATGTTGAATGGTTTGCCTTGGATTTGGACGGAGATCATTCTGTAGTTTTTGAGACTGTCTCCCATTACTGCCTTTTTCACTCTCTTCTAGGTGAGTTAGCTCTTATTTAATAGTGTTCTTTTAATTTTTTTTAATACCATTTTCTGGTTTTATACCATTTTAAATGGACCTGTAAGGGTTTTAAATGGATACCTTGAGCACCTTATGGAAGGACAACTTGTGACACTGGAAAACTTAGGCAACAACTAGGTTTTCTCCCTCTATCCTTCAAGAAGCTCAGAGGGGTCTACATAGATGTTCTCCATTTTATCTCCACGTCAGGCCTAGTTAGACAGTCTAACCACTACACCATGCTAGCTTTCTATAAGAAAACTTGTAGAGAGATGGGAACTGAGGAGTCTCCATGGGAAGATAAATTCACAGTGAAAGTGCTTCTACCTTGACAGCACCGGCGTAATCTTCGCGGGGGCTGGGGGGCTGGCGCCCCCCCGAAATTTCCCCAGAAGCCCCGCCCACCCCTTGCCCTCCCAAGCCTCCACGTTATGGCCGCCCCAGCTGCTGTCCTGCCTGCCTGCCTGCCGGCTGTCAGAGCCGGAGGGAGGGGAAAGATGCCTGCAGTTTGCACAGCGGCAGCGGCTAGTTCTCGGCCGGGGCAGCGGCGGCAGGCCAGACCCTAAACAAAGGCCCGGAATGGAGAGCGCGAGCTCGGGGAAGGGGGGGGCGCCGGGTCGTCGTGTCGTCATCTGTGCGTGCGCCCCCGCCTCCCTTCACTGGTCATTTGTTTAAAGGACATTTGCTTCCTCCCGGCTCGCGACGTCTCTGGGGCCCAGCAGAGCCAGGTGATTTGGGGATTTTAAAAGCTGCTTTGCTTTCTATCTTTTTTCCCTTCCAGAACTCCCCCCCC